ACCTGTCTCTCCATTGACTCACATCTAGAATGACATTTATAACACATCCCACATTAGTATAAACCAATATCAGGTTTGTCTTTGGGGAATTATCATGATTAAAGTCTCTCATTCTGACATGACCCTCATTCACAACAAAACAAAATTTGTTAACCCCAAGGTTCCTCATTATATCTTCAAATCACTTTACAAGTAGAATCAAACTTTGTATTTAAATAAATTTTCATTTAGATATAAAGTTGTATTATGTATGTAACTTAGTGAGATAAAAGCCAACAATATTTCTATAATTGAGAAATTATGAGTTCCATTAAAACTGACATGAAAATTGGAATAAGATGTTTACATTACAGTTCTATTATTTCCAGGTATCATAGCATTGGACAAGTGAGTTATTTTTTGTATTTCAATTTTCTGATGAAACATAAGAATATTGCAGTATAAGATACAAAAGTAAAATTCTATCAGTAATGCAACATAATTGTAATGTGAATTGTACAAATAATGCTTGCTATTATCTCTCTTTCTCTCTGTCTTTGTATAGTACATATAGTATATCTGTACATATAGTACACATAGTATATATAGTACATATAGTATATAGTGTGTACAGTATATATAGTACATATAATATGTGTGTATATATATTTTACATCAACTCTTCTGTGTATGAGTTATATGTAACAGTATGAGTAATATGAGTAATAAATCATGTGAAATGATTCCTATGCACTAGCACAATTCAATCTTATTTATATATATAGTATATATAGTTATTATAGTATAAATAGCTATAATAAATTTATATATACATATTATATGATCTCTATAAAACTTCTCTTCCTTTTAGAGGGTTATATAATGTAACATGGACTACTTGGGTGAAGTTGTAAAATATTTTATTCTTATAAACTCTTAGTACAGTGCTTCATAATCATATATACTCTGAACATTTTTAGAAATAGACTACTCTTGGCAATAAATATAATAAAGAAAATGGGTATTGTAAAGAAAATACAGAAGGCAGGTTAGATCATATCAACTGGATGTATAGAGAGCTAAAAAGACAGTGAAACACAACTTTACTTTACAACTTTACTTGGAATTCAAAAAATTTGAATTGAATCAGAGACTGTTAGGAGATGTTAATTTACACTTGTCGAAGAAAGAAACTTTTATTATGTCACAGTATTTTTGTAAGCAGTGGTGAGCTCTGGCCTGAAGTTTCCAGGAGGACAGGTGAAGTTTATATCCCTATACATTTTGAAGGGAATCGGATTTCTGGCTGCTGTTGGTCAACAGACACTTCTTCATCTACACATGGCAATGTGGTTAGACTAGACTTTTGATCTATAAGTCAATTTTAAGAGAATTCACATCTTTATCATGTTTAGACTTCCAACTGAGCACAATATGTCTCTCCATTTTCTTATGTGCTGTTTAATTTCTTTCACTGGTATTCATATTTTTCAGCATACAGACCTTATTTATGTATTTTCTTTGATTTTACCCAATATTACTTTTTTGAGATATCTTAACTGTTATTTTAAAATTTTGGTTTCCATTTACATTACCAGTATGAAGAAATACAGTTGAATTTTTGTGTGTGTGTTAACATTGTATCTATATTCTTCCTTAACACACATTAATTGTAGGAGTTTTTTGTTTTTGTTTTTTGATTGGTTGAAATTGTCTAGGTATACAGCCGTAATATCTGTAAATAGAAAATAAATTCATTTCCAATCAATTTAACTTGCATTTCTTTTTCTTGTGTTATTGCCTCGATTTAGACTTCCAGTATGATGTTAAATGGGACTGCAATGGACATTTTTGCCTTCCTCCCAATTTTATGGGTAAGGCAGTCACTCTTTAATTATGAAATATGATGTTAGCTGCAGGTTTTTTTGACGACCTTTTGAGAGGCTAAGAGAAAAATTACCAGGTGTACTCACAACTGCAAAGAAAAGATCTTTCCCCTCCCCCGCCGTACCGGAAACCAGCCAGGGCGTGCCCGGTTGTAGTCTGACATAAAGGCGGGAACCAATCAAGTTCTGCTGAATGGTTTGAAATAAAGGCAGGAACCAATCAAGTTCTGCTGAGCGTTCAAATTTAAATGTCAACCTATAACAACTCTGTAACCTCAAAAAAATCCCTAACTTGTTTGTGCCTGTCTATAAAAGAAGCTGTAAGATCCTTGCTCGGGGCCTCTTGCGTCACCGGCAACGAGTGCGCGGAGGACCGGGTTCGAACCTGCAATAAACGACCCTTGCCGCTTGGCTTTGGCTCTGGACTCTGGTGGTTTGTTTTCGGGGGGTCTCTCAAATCGGGGCATATCACTTTCTCTACAAAGCAATGGTTTCTTTGTATTCTTAGCTGCTGAGAATTTTTATCATAAATAAATATTGTGTTTTATGAAATGCGTTTTCAGTATCAAAAGGATTGTGTATTTTTTCCTTCTTTTTCACACTATTATTACACAAGTTTTCATTGACCAAATTTTCACACGTTCAATTACCATTGCATTTCTAGGGTAAATTTTAGTTGATCATAGTATATTTTTCTCTTCATATATGGCTAGGTATGTTGTTGTTGTTGTTGTTGCTGTTTATATATTGTTGAAGTTTTTGTAGCTATAGTAACAAAGGATAGTGGTTTGTAGTTTTCTTTTTTGTGCTGTCTTTATCTGGTTTTGATATGTTATTCTGAACTCATAAAATGAAACTGGAAGTTTTTATTTTTCATTCTTCAATTTTCTTGAAGAAATTGTTTAGAATTAGTGTTATTTGTCTTTAAATGTGTGATAAAGTTTTCCAGTGAAACCAATGGGTCTTGTTTTTAATCTGAAGGATTAAATATGAATTCATTTTTAAGAGCTATATGAATATTAATGCTATATATTTCTTCAGTGAATTTTGATATTTTATAGTTTTTGAGGCTTAGGTACATTTGTATAAGTTGTCAAATTTGTGTATGTAGAGTTCTTTATAGTTTTCTATATTATCCTATATATGTCCTAAGAGTCTGTAGGAATATCCCTTCTTTCAGTACTCATAAATAATTTGTGTCTCCTCTCCTTTATATTTGTTAGTTTTCCTAGATGTTTACCATTTTTATTTTATCTTCACAATAGACTGACTTTCTCTTTTTGGTTATTTTCTGTTTTGTTTCTTTCTGCTTTCACATTCATTGATGTCTGCTATCTTGCTTACTGTCTTCAATTGCCTTTGTCTTCTGATTTGCATTTCTTTTGCCCTTTAAGTTTCTTTAGGTAGAGCCTTAGATTCTAGAAGCAGCTTTTAGAAATAGGTCCTTTTTATTAACCTTGCTTATTTTCTCCCCACGATTTTTGTCTTTTACTGTAAAACGAGTTTTAAAATCTCCCAACTATAATTGTAGATTTGGTTTTAATACTTTTATTTGCTGTCTTACTTGAAGAGTTCTGGTAGTGGGTTGCTTTACAATTTAAATTCCAGTTGGAAGTATATCTGAATTGATGTCATCCTTCCATGAATATTGTGGCTGGGTTCAAGGTGTTAAGTTCTTAGCACAGACAAGAAGAGATGCTAAGTGGAACAAAGAGTTGGCTGTGTTGGTATTCTCTGTTGCCGTCCATATTAATTCACCTCTTCTGTGATCCAGAAAACTGAATTCTGCTGCATCATCTGTGCTTTCTTGCCCTCTGCCTTCCAGGTTGACTAACGGGAGAATCTGGAAGAATAATAGTGGATGTAGGAGGAGAGACCTTGGGATATTGATCCCCACACTCTGTTTTGGATATTCCCTTCCTGCCTTGATGAGGGCCTGATAGTTACTACATTTTAAGATACCAGCTTCTGTGGGATACCTCCTCCTTCATTGTTACCTATATTAACCTATGTTACCTCTTCTTTCTTCTCCCAACCTAGATGTGATCAGAACAAGGCACAAGAAAGTTGCAAGAAACGTATTACGTGAATGATTAATTAATGGAAGGCTGATATCACATACACCACATACTGATATCAAAACACAACCAAGCGTGGAAAAATCTCTGCAAAGGTACAGAAGATTCCCTAGGATTTGGGAGTGTTCTTTGATAGTATTGTAATATGGAAGTGGGTAATTAATGCTTAGGTTTAAAATAATGATTTGTTATTACTTTCTATTTTCTCTCTCTCTCTGTCCCACAATCATACACTAAAAAATAGACATTTTTTATTGTCACTGCTTATTTTTCTTACCAATGAAGTTTGCTAACAGAGACAGCTGAGGTCTTCCAGAGTTCCTGCATTGTAATATAATTTCACTTTTCTTTCTGTGTGATAGATCTCACATCTCTGCATGAACCGATATGTGACTTTTGATGCAGAAGTTATCACTCAAGCCAGGGATGCAGTCATTCTAGAGGTATTACAGTTAGAGCACTGTAGAAAAAAATCTGTTTGGTTGTGGGAAAATGAAATTTTATTTTTGTAGTATTGCTGTGTGCAAAATAGTTACTTACTTAGGTGTTTCATTTAATTACTTTTTGTATAATAAATGAAACTCTCTCATCTGAAAAATTCAAACCTACTAAAGAAGAAAAAAGGTGTGGGAAACTGACTCAGATACATATAGTTTTTCAAGGCAGATATTGAAGTAATATTTAATTGTGCTATAAATTTGATTTCACCATTAAACTTGTTTTCTATATGCTATATAATAATTTCTTATAATGTAATCTTTCTTGCTATGCATTAATTATTTTGAAATATAGTTTCCTAATAGCCTAGTCACATTTGAGGTCTGCAAATGTGCCTCTTCCACAAATCTCCCTTTCACCAAGTTTCTGCTCATGTTCCTTCCAAGCACTTGAACGTCCAGTCCAACGATTGGCTACCACTGGTGAATCAGTATACACTCAAACCTTTTTTTTTTTCCCCTATGTAAAATGAATCACCAGATACATTGGCCAAAGTTCTGATCACTGGATGAATTTCTCTTCAAGACTGCCCTACAGGAATGTCCCAGAAAATTCCATGATTCACCTATAGAGCTCTGCCAAAGTTTCCAAAAGTAAAAGGAAACCTCATTTAGTCGGGAGGCCTGCAGAGGGAGTTCTCAGAGTTCTCAGCATCGCAGCCCAAGCCAGGACCTGGCAGGACGTGTTCTTCATGATCAGGCCTGACGAGCAGCCGCTGTACAAGAACGACCAACTTCTGGATGATGGCCAGACACTGGGAGAGTGCGGCTTCACCAGTCAGATGGCACGGCCGCAGGCCCCAGCCACTGTGGGGCTGGCCTTCTGGGCAGATGAAGCTTTCGAGACCCTGCACATCGAGCCCTTCTCCAGTCCACCCGAGCTGCCCGATGTAATGAAGCCACAGGACTCAGGAAGCAGCGCCAGTGAACAAGCGGTGCAGTGAGAGGGCTCCGGGCCTGCCCCCAGTGGCCCCCCTCCCAATAAAAGAGATTTGGGTGTCTGCCTGGTTGCTGCCTTTTTCTGCGCACCCTCTCCTGACTCAGGCGTCACCTTCCCTGGGATGGGGTCTGCTCTCCTGCAAGGCTCCTTCTCAGCCCCGTGTGCTTGCTAGGCTGGCTGTGGCTGTGGGAGCGACCCCAAGCTCTGTGGGCCCTCACTGTCCACACCCACTCCAGCCTGCCCCTCAGGGGCTGTGCGCAGAGAACTGGGAGGAACCCCGGCCCCGGGCCAGCCTTCTGCTCAGCCTGGGGACAAAGGTTCCTACTGTGACTTCCAGCAAGCAGGCTCTCACAGGCTCTGGGGCAGCCTCTGGGCTGAGGGGCAGAGGCCAGGGGCAAAAATGTCAGCTGGAGCCAGTGTGGTTCCCAGGGGGACCCACCGCCTACAGTCGCCTTACTTGAGTCTTCTAAGGCTCTGGGGGCGGGGGGGGGGGGACATTCAAAGTGGAAAGACTGCTCTCTCTCCACCCCTAATAATCTATAGACCGCCCCCTCCCCCCAAAAAAGTGCCATCGACACTTCATGCTCCATTATGTCAGCTAGATCATATGGCTCAAGTGACGGAACAGTGAACCTGCTGTAGCAAACCTTCCTTTGATCTGATCTTCATTCAAAACTAGCATTTTTGGGGGGTCGCTTGTAAATGGGCCAGAGTTAGCACACCCAGATGACAAACTATATTGCCTCTATAAGCTAAAGGGCCTCACTAGTTGTTGTGCTTCGTTTTTATTTTTAAATGCAGCTAGATGCAATAACTTCTTTTTCACCTTGGAAGGGATGCCCTGTATACACCACTGGACTCCTAGAAATTCCATGAGGGTAGAAGGCCCGTGAATTTTTATTGAATTTATTTCTCAGTCTCTAACAGGTAAATGTTTTACCACCACGTCTAAAGAGTTGGTACTTCTTAATCACTACATAATGTCAACCTACATGGGCCAGTATGACGTCTTCTGGATGGCCAGCAATTAAGTTTCCTGTGGAATCAGTTAGGATACAGGGCCGAAAAGCTGATATACCTCTGTGGTAAAACAGTGAAGCTGTATGGCCAGCCTTGCCAACTAAAAGGAAACTGGTTTTGATGGTCTTTACCAGCAAGTGTTGAGAAAAAAGAACTTGACAACTCTATAGCTGCATATCAGGTACAAGGAAAAGTATTAATTTACTCAAGCTGCGAAACCACATGTGGAAGGGCAGATGAAATTAGAGTTTATACCTAGTAAAGTTTACAATAACCCACTGTCAATCTCCATGGTACATCTGCTTTCTAAACTGGACAAATTGGCAGATTTGAATGAGGATGTAATGGGAATGCACCCTTCAAGTCATTGATAGTGACATTAATCTCAATAGTCCTTGCAGGTATGTAGTATTGCTTTTAGTTTACTATTTACTACTTACTTAGGTAGAGGCATTTCTGATGGCTTACACATGGCCTTTCCTAATGCAATAGCACTTACACTGCAGGTTGGAGAACCTTGGTGGAAATTATTCAATTGCTAAGTCTGTCTATTCTAATTATGCATTCTGGCACTAAAAAAATAACCACATGAAGGATTTCTGAACACACACTGGACCCATATTGAGATAAACTTGAGTGACATTTTGGATCTCCTGGATTTAGCTACACTTCAGAGCCTGTGTCTAGTAATCTTTTAAAAATCTGATTATCTCTTTTTTTTTCCCCCAACACACAGTCACTTAATAAAAGGCCATAGGTCTCTTTGGGCAGGGTGTGGAGAATGATTAACAGTGTAAAATTTGGCAGTGTCCTTCCTGAAGAGGACCTGACCTCCCTTAATTCAAGGGATTAAAGGTCTATAAACTGGCTTGACTCTGGAACTATCAGGATTCCATTCTTCCCCAGTGATTGTCCTCACTTTAATTTCAGACATCCTGTGAGGTTGTGGATTCAATTTGTGTTATAATGCAGCTGCTTGCAAGATGAGACTCTGGGTTGGGTTTTTAGAACTGTCAGCTCTGTGGCTATAGGAGATAAGGATTTCTTTCGGGGAAGTTATAGACACTTTCAGGTTATTTGTAAGGAATTTAAGCTGGGAATTTGAATCCCTGAACTCATTATTTTATCTTCCCACTTGCTCCAGTGCAATTAAGAGCAACCAGAAATCTCATTATACCCATTAAATTGGCAAAGGTGTTCTAAGATATTGAATACATAGCCAATCAGAATATGAGTTTTATGAGTTTTTGATTAAGAGTATCCAGTGGTGGTACTTTGTGTATTTCTATTGACCCTTCATGAAATGAACTACCAGTACTTTCTTTACCATTAAAAATAGAGCCATTTATGCCTTGAATATAATTAGACTAGAGAACTAATTCCAGATACTCCAGAACAAGTTCAGAAAACTCATCATTAATATTTCATTCCTGTAGAACCACTTCTCATACCAAATCTGTACCTCTCAGAGTTTTTCAGAGTTCTTCAGAGAAGGAGAACCAATAGGAGATACATTTTTCATTTGAAATTTTTTTCTTTTTTAATATAGGCATTTACAGGTACATACTTTTTTAGTGTTTATTTAAATTCCCATTAGCTAACATACAATATAGTGATTCAACACTTTCATACAACACCCAGTGCTCATCACAAGTGCGCTCCTTAATCCTAATCACCTATTTAACCCATCCCCCCATCCGCTTCCCCTCTTGTAACCATCAGTTTGTTCTCCAGAGCTAAGAGTCTGTTTCTTGATTTGTCTCTCTCTCTGTTTTTTCCCTATGCTCATCTATTTTGTTTCTTAAATTCTACACGAGTGAAATCAATTATATGGTGTTTGCCTTTCTATGACTATTTCATTTATCTCTATGTATCCTTTTAGCTGGATCCCATTCGTTTTCCTATGTTGTTTTTTCATCTTAATTCATCTTAACATATTTTCTAATTTTCCTTATTTTTTTTCCCTTGACTTACAGGTTATTTAAGAGTGTGTTGTTTAATTGTTTACATATTTATGAACTCACTAAGTTTTTTTGCTATTTCTTTTTTTTTTAATTTTTTACATTATTTTATTTTATTTTTTGAGAGACAGAGAGAGACAGAGCATTAGCAGGAAGTGGGCAGAGAGAGAGGGAGACCCAGAATCCAAAGCAAGCTCCAGGCTTTGAGCTGTCAGCATAGGGCCCAATGTGGTGCTTGAACCCATGGACACAAGATCATGACCTGAGCCGAAGTTGGGCCCTCAACTGACTGAGCCATCCAGATGCCTCCTTTGCTATTTCTTTATTATATTATTCTATGATGGTTAATGAACTTTGTGTAATCCTACACATCTTAAATTTATTTATTCTTATTTTATGGCTTAGCATGCAGTCTATCTTGGAGAATGATCCATGTGCACTTGAGAGAAATGTATATTTTGCTGTTAGTCAAGTGCTATATAGATACCTGTTAAATCGATTTGTTTTATAGTGCTGTTCAAATCTTATATCGTCTTGTTGATGTTCTTTCCAGTTATACTATTAATTTTTGAAAATGTGGTACTGAGGTCTCCAATGGCTATTATTTTTAATGACATAAATCTTCTATTGCATTTTCCTTTAAATTTTTTATCGTGGTATAATATACATAAAATATACCATCTTTACCATTTTTAAATGAACAGCTCAGTGATATACTTATATTATGCAACCATCACTACCATCAATCTATGGAACTCTTTTTCATTTTGCAAAACTGAAACTCTGACCATTAAACAATAATTCCCCATTCTTTCTTCCGCCTAAAACCTGGTAAGCTCTGTTCAAAGCTTATACAAAGTATTGCTAGGAATAATGGAATTACACATTATTTGTCCTTGTATGTGTGGCTTACTATGCTTAACATAATGTTTTCAAGGTTCACACCATGTTGGATTATGTCAGAATTTCTCTCTTTTTAGGGGCTGAATATAACATTTTATTGTATATTGTCATATTGTTTTATTGTCAATATTGTATATTGTCAATGAACACCTGAATTGCTTCTACCTTTTAGCTACTGTTAATAATGCTGCTATGAACATGAATGTACAAATATCCCTTTGAGATCCTATTTTCATATATCTTGGGTATATGCAGAGGTGGAATTTCTGTATCATTTGAATTCTACCTTTAGCTTTTTGAGGGCCCACCAAACTGTTTTCCATGGCACCTACATCATTTAACATTCCTGCCAACAGTCAAAGTGATTCCAATTTCTCAGCATCATTGTCAAAACTTTTCAGTTTTTTTTTTTTTTTATAATAGCCATCCTAATGGGCATGAGGTGGTATCTCATGGTGGTTTTGACATGTCCAGTGATTTTCAACTAACTATGCCTCCCTTCATGTATGTCCTTTTTTGCTCTATGCATCTTGGAGCTTTGATGTTAGATGCATGTATGTTTATAATTATTGTATTTTTTCTGATGACTTAACCATCTTATCATTCTAAAATGTCCTTATTTTTTGTGGGGCACCTGAGTGACTCAGTTGGTTAAGTGTCTGACTTCGGCTCAGGTCATGATCAGCAGTTTGTGAGTTCGAGCCCCACGTTGGGCTCAGTGCTGACAGCTCAGAACCTGGAGCCTGCTTCAGATACTGTGTCCCTCTCTCACTCTGCCCTTCCCCAGCTCATGCTCTGTCTCTGTCTCTCTGTCAAGAATAAACACTAAAAAAATAACAATAAAAAGTCCTTATTATTTTATTTTTTTAAATAATTTTTTAACATTTATTCATTTTTGAAAGACAGAGAGAGACAGAGGACAAGCAGGGGTGGGTGAGGCAGAGAAAGAGGGGGACACAGGATCTGAAGCAGGGTTCAGGCTCTGAGGTGTCAGCACCGAGTCAGATGTGGGCCTCAAACTCACGAACCACGAGGTCATGACCTGAGCTGAAGTCAGACGCTTAACCGACTAAACCACCCAGGCGCCCCCTTTTTTTTCTTTTACAGTCTATTTTGTCTGATATTAGTATAACAACTTCATATTTCTCATGTTTGTGTTTTTCATGATATTAT